AGTGGTGCATGGCTCGTTCCACGTACATATTTTCGAGATCCCTCTCGAGTTTATGCAAAATATTTCTGCACTCAACAAGGGACCTCCTCGCGCGGCACGGAACACCGACGGTTGCACAAATATCATTTACAAGTATCTTTTTCGACATTTCATTTCTCTCCCGTGGCTGCATCGTCGACATCGGGGCCATTTGTACATCCAAACCTCGCATTTCTCCAATTTCGTCCAATTTATTCGGTACTTATCGGTCAGATTCACCCCAGAAAACTAATACTATCGGATCGAATCAGGAAACTTGGTAAAAAAAAAAAAAATCGTCGGAATGGGATGAGAATTATTAGACCGTTTTCGTTTCCCGGAATTCCGGTATCTCCAAGGAATTTTCCCAAGGAAAATGGCCCGAAGCTCTGGAAAACTTGGTATTTTGGCTAGAGGCTCTCGAAGGAGCTTCTTCGGGGCCTTCTTCAGGGGGAAGCTCGGCTTTCCCTCTCGCCTGGGGCGCGGAAACAAAGTTTCCCGAAAATCCTTCACGGCCATTGAGTCTCCTCCCACCCCGGGCGAGCTTTTTATTTGCGATTGCACTTTGCCAATAAATTCGATATTAAGTTTTCGAGAGCTTTTCTCGCGGCTTCCTTCCGCCCCCAACCCCCCCTGAAAGCTCCCGCTGCCGCCGAATTCTGGAGTGCACCCCGAGTTTTGAAAAGTGGCCCGATTTCGAATTCCGCCGGAATTCGAGGGCCTTTGTACTTTTCTTCGGTCCGAATTGGAGGAATTTTTCGATTAGGTAGGTCCTTGCCATGTTTCTTTGAATGCTCTCGGGGAAAATTTTCTGTTTTTCTTAAATTATGGATGTCGTGTACATTTCGACAGCGGGTGCTTTCTTTGTTTTCCTTTTTGTCCGAGGTTGTTCTTTCCTCCCCGTGGAGGGGATTTCCTGGTTAATAACACCGCGAGTGCCGAATTCATTCGGGAAATTAATTTTCCGAGCAACTACGTCCCGCCCGTAAACTTGATAGTCCCGTTTTCGAGGAGTTCCCGGAGGACTCCGTTCCGCCCCAGAAAGCTCGTCCACTCACCCCCGAATTCGAAGATTGCCCGAGAGAGCTTCCCGAATTTCGGACGAATGCGGATTCCCATCGATCCGATTTCGATTTCCCGTTCCATGATTCCGGCGACCCCGTTCACGCGGAAAAATAAAGTCGTAACTCTTTCTCTCTTCCTCTCGTACCGATGGAATCGCTCCTCGCCGATTAGACTCCCTCGAAATAATTCCCGTAAAATGCGAAAATCTCCCTCGATGAATAATTCGAGGCCCGAGGGACGAATCCACCTCTGCAACCCCGAACTTTGACCCAAAATGGAAATCCTCTCATTTTGACGATTTCCATAATCTAGTGGAACTTTTTCGTAAGACATTTCGCCTTTGCAGATTTTTAGTTCTGAGGGGCTGCAATTTTTTCTGGGGTTAATTAAATTAATAGAAGTATTGGGCAATTTCGAGTCTTGCGTCGTGTTTTGGAGTCCGATTTTTGGAAAAGACTGGACTTGGTTTCGCCCAAAATTGAAAACCATTCATTTTGACGATTTTCGTAATTCAGTGGAACTTTATTGTTAAACGTTTAGACTTTCCAGATTTTTATTTCTGAGGGGCTGCAATTTTTCGTGGGGTTTATTAAATTCATAGAGTTGCGGGGCAATTTCGAGGTTCGTGTTGCGTTTCGGAGTCCGAATTTTGGAAAAGACTGGATTGGGTCTCGGATTTCTTTCTGGAACACGAATGGCCCCGAGCATCGTCGAGCGGGGTTGGTTTCCGCGGTATTTGCAGGACCAGTCCTAAATAATTCGACAAACGGCCCCGCCGGCCGCCACCCCTCGCCCTCGGTACGGTTTACAGTGCCACAATTTATGATACAGTCTATATACAATTCGGTACCAGCCGCGTCGCCGTTAATACCGAGAAGAATCGCAGTCGGTGGAACGCTGCAAAACATTCGCGCGGCGCGCCCGGAATATTCATCGATTCGGCCGGGAAGCTGCAAAGAGTAGAAACGGAGAGAGAGAAAGAGCGACCGATGCGGAAAGGGTGAGGAGGAGAGAGAGGGAAGAGCGCCGGAAAAGGCGAATCCCGGCTGGATCCGAGGACGACGTATCGATAGATCCTAGGTCCGCGTGTTTCCACAAAACACTATTTCCGCCCCACCACCTCTTTTTCTAAAAACGTACGCAAAACTGTGTCAGGACAAAATAAGTAAAAGAGAGTAAATAGTAAAAGTAAAATTAGCTGGAAGAGGTAGGTTTGGGGTACCGGCAATAACGAGTAGAATGTCGGTTTACTCCACGGACGACAATTTTGTATTAAATGACACTAACGAAAATGATAACGTAGGTCGTGTCAATACCCAAAAAGATGAATATAAATAGTAATTAATTTTGAGAAAAAAACACAATATCGCGTTTCATTTCCCGAATCGGGGCTTTTTAGTAACACGTGAACCTACACAAATTACCGATCATAGGAAATTTCATAAAAAATATTCACCCCCCATGAGTCGTACGGAAAAAGGGAATACTTTCGATTTTCCCCTCGATCCTGAACATCCTGAATCGATCTAAAAATCCTGAATCGATTTAAATATCTTGAACCGATCTGAATATCTTGAATCGATCTTCTCATCCTGTCGAAAGGGACACACCTCCACGTTTCTAAAACCAATCAGGTACTCAAGGTCCTTTTTCAAAACCCCCCAGATTTAGGTAACTATTTCTTTCCTCCTTGAATATATAAACCAGGATCGCGTTTTTACAAGGATGGCTGTGAGTGTCCTTTAAGGGACGTGTGTCGGATCGATTCCTACTTTGTGGTAGAAACGGGGCTGAGCTCGCAACCCCAGCCCCGTTAATGCCTTGTACCTACTCGCAGCGAATCCACGCTGAAGACTTAACACGTGTCGAGCCGAGAATTAACGGGGCGGTTTACACGCGTTAAACGGCGGCAGGCGTCGCGACGGCGCCGTCGACAACGTTTCGTTAATTCGCTCAGAGCGATTTCGTCCCCTCGAGGCGACCAATGTATCGGAACTCCCGACCGTTAATAAAATCAAGGGGTTCTTTCATGTTAAAAAGTGACATAACGGGGACGTTTTAGGGTCGCCATTGACGGGAGAATAAAATAATCCCCTAGCCAGGACGAGGCCGCACGCCGTTTCCTGCGAGTACGAGGAACCCGCCGTATAACGACGATATAACGCCTATTTGTTACTCGGGGCACGATACCTTGACGCTGGAAACTTTTCCATAGGTACGTACATAATTTAAACGGCCATTGTTTCTCCCATGTACGTGTATTTCTATATGTACCCGCACATAGTCGGGTACATACCCGCGCGGGTAAAATATACCGCTTTTTGTGGGCGCAATCGTTAATTCCGCTTTACCGTACCGAGATACCCACAAAATCCGTAATGTATGCCGCGTATATAAAACCGAGTGAAAACTGCAGGAATTTACCCGGATAGCGTGTTTCCCTTCCCCCGACTTCCGGTGATCGCTCCATCGAGCCTTTTTACGCGACGGGAGAGAAAAAATGGAAGAGTAAGGAGATAAAGGGGGGATGAAAAAGAGACGTAAAACGCCGAGGAGAGGAGTTTCTAGTCGAATTTCATCGGGGTGGAAATAGTGGTATCAGCCTCTCCCTCGCTCCCCCTGACCCGCCATTCCGCCCTCTCTCTCTCTCCCAAGGATTACACTCGCCAGGTCGAATTCGATAATTGAATCCGCTCGATTATTTCGAGCCGCGAAACGGACATCCGGGATGGCAGGATCAAAGGTATCGCCGGCGATTAACGGCCGCGTTAAGCTCCCGTGCGAGCATAACGACGGGAATTCGTTGGTTCGTTTCCCGGTCCCACTTTTATTTCGCGCCTCCCTTTCTCTCCGTTCCTTCGTTGATCCTGCCAGGACTTCTTTCCCGGGGGTCGGCGTCGAATAAGTTTAGCGACGCCGGAAGCTTAACGCCCGGAATTGGCTCGTTAAACGGCAAAGGGCGGTCGCCGGAAACGCCGCCGCATCCGGCGAGTCGCACCGGACAGCGGGAATCGACGGATTATCCGATAATTGGATCGACCCGACTTTTATTTTCGATCCCAACCGTCGACGCGGAACTTGTTAGTGTAAAGGAATTAACGCGCCCGCCCGGGCACCGAATTAACGCCCGGGTTAAGCGGCCAACGGCGCCCGGAAAACGGGCGGAATCCTTCGGCGTCCCTCTCCGCCGTTTTCGGAGAAACGAGAAAGCAAGGACCTCGCGGTATCTCAAATATTTCCCGGCCTCCGCGAAAATATTCCAAGGACCTCCCGGCAGAATCTCCCTCCGAGATTATTCCGTCCGCGCCGTAGGACCTCCCGAAAGTGGCTCCCCGGTTTCCGGCAAGAGCCTTCCCGGCCTTTTCCGAATTTCCTTATTTCGCGGAAACCGCGGCTCCAGGATATTCACGCCCCGAAGCAAGGTCCGTGAAAAGTAGCCCTCCGCCATTTTCCCTAGGCAAGGAAGGACTCGTAAAATCCACGGGGAGGTTGCGGCCCCTCCAGGATGCGAAATCCTGCCGAATTATTCCGCGCGGTATTTCCCGGAGTTTGTAGGAATTTTCCGCAGGAGAGGGAACCGTTTCCTCCCCGTGTACAGGACCTCCTGTAGCGAGAATCCCTAGGTAATTTTTACGAGCCCCTTCGAGCGCACAGGTCCTTCCGTCAGGACTACGGGGGTGTCCTTCGCGGCAGCTCGTAAAATCGGGCCGACGTGATCGCCCACCTATTTTACGCTCTTCCACCGAACCTCTGGGTCCTATCCAAGGATCATCCGGATTACCGTGGTTCCCTCCTGGTAACCGGGATCGAGTGCCCCGTGCTCCTGTCCCGCGGGTCCTGCGATCCTTCCCCAGGATCGGCGCTCCGGGACGCCCCGGCTGCAGGACTCGTCTCCTCGGGATGTCCCGCGTTGTCCTTCGGTCGTTTTCCATCGAGTCGGCGTGTCCTTCCTTACGCCGAGGATATGTACAAAATGATCAGGGACACCAGGAGGCAGCTCGAGGACAGGATCGGCCCCGCGGTTCCTGTCTGCATCGCCTCGGGTCGCTCTCCTGAAACAAGGATTTTTTCCCCTTCAATTTTCCCTCTTTAAGGTGATGTGAAAGTAGCGTCAAAGAGGTCTCATTCGTGAAACGTTTCTCCAAACTGGGCGTACTTACGACATTTAAACTTTACAATATATATATATGGAAGGTACAAGGAAGGTCCTGAAACTCGCGAAATTTCAATTTTTTTAAAATTTGTTCATAGATATTCTTAAAACTTGTTATAAAAAATGAAACTTTACGGGCGTCAGGATTTTCCTTATACCTTCCATATTTATATTGCACAGTTTGAATCATTTCAGTACACTAAGTTCGGAGAAGAGTTTCCTGAACGATTCACTTTTCAGGTGACACTTTCACATCCCCGTAAGGTGATACAAAAGGGACAACCTGGTCGAAAAAATTGGAAAAAAAATTGAAATAAATATAAAACTTAGTGGAAACTTCATTTCCTATTTGAAACATTCCGAGGACCCTTCGAGGGGAGGTCGAAGAAGGATTTAGACCCACCGTTCAGGACGTGGACCCTGACGGAAGTGGTGTTGGCGTTGCTCGGCGTGCAACTGTACTCCCCGGAGTCCGAGGGCTGTGCCGCCTGAATGAGTAGCCAGGATGTCGTGACGTCGCTTCCTTTCTCGGTTATCACCGAAACTCCACCCCTGGGACTGTCGTAGCTCAGCACGTTCTTGTTGTAGTACCAGAAGATGTAGGCGGGCGGCTCCGAGCTGAAGTGAATGGCGCAGGTGAGGTTTATCGTGCTGCCAGCGCCCACGTACAGCTCTGGACCTCCCAAGATGGTGGCCGTAGGAACTGGAACGTACCATGGATTTGCGTCATATAGGTCGTATCGAAAAAACGAGCCGTTTGCTCCCAATTCACCCGAGAATCCGACCCCTCCACCCCGATTCGTGGAAAAGCGCCTCTAAATGCGGAATAGGGAAATCCTTTAACAGCGGTTTGTTGGCCGCGAAACGTGGTTTAAGGTGATGTGAAATTGGCGTCAAAGAGGTCTCGTTTATGAAGCTTTTCTCCGAATTGGGTGTACCGAATCATTTCAAACATTACAACATGAATATAGAGGTTATAAAGAAGATTTTGTATAAAAAATGAAATCTTATGAGCATGGGGACGTTCCTTATAGCTTCCACGTTCACGTTCTAAAGTTTGAAACGATTCGGCACACCCAGTTCATAGAAAAGTTTCATGAACTATTGAGCTTTCGGATGCCACTTTCACATCCCCTTAATCACAGGGAGCGTAAAAGAGGACGAAAGGGTACAGGATATGTTTCCTTATGGGGCTGTTTTATTCTCCCGTCCCACGAGAAATGTAAGAAAAAGGAGTTTCGAAGTTCTCCAAAATGGCGGAATTAAACAGGCTGGACGTTTCGATCTCTTCTTCATGATGCACGGAATTTCAGGAGAACAGGTCTGAAGTTGGATGTTCTGGGAATTAAATTGGATTCTTTAAGTACTGATTACGGATGTAGAACGACATCTGTGCTTAAAATATGTCCTATGGTTTGGTTACAAACGGCTTTATTCGAAAGGAGAGCGTCAAATCTTAAACGGCAAAAATGGTGGTAACTTTTCGGATAATCCGAGACCTAGTTAGGTTGAAAGGGTTCTTACCGACGACGTTTAGGTGAAATTGATGGGCTTTGAGGGGGACGGTGGAGATCTGGCACTCGTAGATCCCCTGGTCCCGTTCTTGGGCCCATTTGATGCAAAGTGTCCACTCGGACCACTCGTTGTTCGGGCCCGAATTCTGCCGATGGAGGGCCTGAAACCGCTGGTCGCTGGTGTAGGTGTAGGCCCCGGCAGTCAGGATGTGGATGTCCCTGTGCCTCACCCAGGACACCTGAATAGGAAGGAACATTATACGGTCGTCCTTTTGCTCCTCGGAGATTTTTCGCGATGGCAGGTGTTAATTAAGCGATTATTAATTACACAGTCGAGAAGCGCAAAGTTGCTAATCACACAGTAAAGCGCACGATTGGCAAGTGCACAGTTGCCAATTATGCGATTATTGATCACACAGATGAGAAGCGCACAGGTGCTAATCACACAGTTGGTGACTGCACGGTTGCCAATTATGCGATTATTAATCACACAGATGAGAAGCGCACAGTTGCTAATCACACAGTTGGTAACTACACGGTTGCCAATCGCACGATTGGCAAGTGTACGGTTGCCAATTATGCGATTATTAATCACATAATCGCGAAGCGCACAGCTGCTAATCACACAGTTGGTAAGCGCGCGGTTGTCAATCACACGGATGCCAATTATGCAATTATTGATGACACAGTTGAGATGCGCGAGGGTGCCAATCGCACGATTGGCAAGTGTACGGTTGCCAATCACCCGGCCGCGCCGATGCTGCCACCTTTACCGGGCATTGGGGCAACTTCCGTTTCCATAATTTCGGAGAGGTCGACGGGACTGAAGGGGCGCTAATTGGGGCCGCGAAGGAGCCTCCCCGAATGCATTTATTTGCAGTCCTTCCAGAATGGAGTCGTTCCCCGCGACTCTCGAGAATGCATTTACCTGCCCTCGTCATTTGGCTCTTCATCGCGCGCGGAAGAGGAGGCGGGGGAAAAATAGAATAATACTCGGAGACGGTTTCCGCTGGTCCATTTTTCCTCGGGGAATCTCTCGAGGTGGGAAAAGTCTCCTCGGCTCCTCGTTTTTCACGATCTCCTTGAAAAGCCAGGGCGTGCACCTTCGAAGTTCCCTCGTTCGCCTTTACGTATCTTCGTTTACGTTTCCGTCCCGGTTTCCGCGACTTGGACGCGTTTCCGCATAGTTTCCGCGGACCCGCGGCTATTTGCATTAATTCCCCGGGGAATTGCGGCAGCCCGACTCGCGGCCCGGCGAAACGGCCGCGGACATTCCGCTGCGGAATTCCGCCGGCGAGACTTCCTCGACGCGGGAACTTCGCCAGGGCATTCGAGCTTTCCGAGCCGGAAAGAAACACCCGATTTCACCGAAAACCTTTGAAGGAATGCGAGGGAAACCTAACTTTGCGGAACATCGGGCTTGCTCGCCCGAGGGGGTGAAAATCGCGACGGAATCGCGACGGAATCGCCCGGCGACGTTCTTACTTCTAGGCTCCGATTATATCTACATTGCCGGGAATTTTCATCTCATCGACTCTATTTTTATTCCGCAATTTTCGAGATTTCCTCAGCAACCCTTTAATGGAGATCTCGCGTCCTTGCGGAATCGAAGGAATCGAAGCAATCCCCTGCGCTTTATTTTCCCTGTCCATCCCCTCGGGAGCATTCCCGCGATTTCGAGGCCCTCCGGGAATATTAATCGTCAATCCTGAGGAATCTCGAGCTCGAGGCACGTCCTTAATATATGAGAAATGCCCGCCGAGGTCCTGCGCGCCGACTGCTCGCCAGGAAGTCCAATGAGGGGGAAGTCGGAACAACTTCTGGGGAATTCTCGAGGCGATTGGGAGTCGCGGCACTTTTTGTCAGTTCCCCTAGGAATTCGGGCCCTAGGGGATTCGACTCGCGACAGGCGGGGTCGCCACGCGTCCCGATTCTTCGGCATCCCAGGACTTCCGATTTCCGACTCCCGTTTTTCCAGGAATTTTATCCAGGAATTCCCCTCTCCCCCCGTCATTTGTCAACGTCTCGATCGCGTCTTCGTCCTCGGGGCTAGAAAAAGGCGTATCATTCCCACCCTTGCTTTCTCTCTCGCCTGAACACCCACCCTTGAAAAGGGTGCGGCCATTTCGCGGCGTTGGGGAATTTCAACGCGTCCCAATTTCCCTAGAATCTCTGGATTCCCTAGCCGTTTTCTCGCGGAATCCTTGCGGAGCGCTCGCGACGGAAACGTGGAATCGGTCCGGAGCAAACTCATCGTTGGAATGCTCTCGAGAATTCGGACGGAAGTAACGAGTCGCCTCGACGCCGGCGTCGGGACGCCGGGTATTCCGCCGATTCTCTTCAGGGTGTATTAATCATCGATTCGCGGAGACGCCGCGGCCGAATTTCCTCGCACATTCGCAGTTACGTCGGCTTGGATAAACTTGGTATTGTACCCACTCGATCTTCTGTTACACAGCTGAGACTGCACCGAGGAAAAGTAGTTTTCAGACAGCCAGTCTCTAAAAATTATACGATATGTATCTAGAGAAAGAAAGAATAACATCACAGGATATGTACGTAATTTTACATTGTACATTATTTTCTTTTTAAAGGTGCCATCTATTTCACGGCTCGTATGGTAACGTTTACAATGTTTACCACTATTTTCCTTAGAGTACTGGAAATAGTGCCCAAGATATTAATTCTTTTATTGAAGACGTTGACTTTGTTAGACAATTGACCCCTGTTGTCATCGTTGACAGCTATTGTTACTCGCAGAAAAATAATTCATAGTCATAATGAAACAATTTACTCGCAGTATCGAGGGTGAAGCATTGGAAAATGGACCAGAAAAATTTTGTATGGTAGGAAGAAAAGTATAATTTCACTGAGAATACATATAGTATTTTTTAAATGAAGTGCTTTCTACCTTGAAGTTCGATTTCTGGAATTTTGAAGAGTTTCGAATTTTTCTCGCTGTTTTGCTTTGCACGGATCTTCGCGAAAGCTTCGATTTCCATCGCGAGTCGATGCGCGTCTATCCCAACAATTCCTTAGGAATATTAATAGCCAATCCCTCGGGAGACCCCGAGCTGCCGGCACATCGCCGATGCAGAAGATGTCGGGGTTTCGCCCAGGCTTTTCCATCGGCATGGCGACGATAATCCCTAGGAGGACGTGCGTCCATGTGCTCAAACCTCGGCAGTGCTTCCCGGCACCTGGTGCTTCTTGAAGGATCCTCCACAGAATTTCACAAAAGAATAGAAAAAAGTAACAAAGTAAGAAAATCCATACAAAACTACCATATCAAAAAATCGCAGGAAAGTGGTGACTATTCAACCCCTGTCCCGCGAATCGCATTTGTTGGCCCCATTTGTTCATTTCACCGAAAAAGTGAAAAAGAAAGGGAACTCATATAAAACCACACCGTATTATCAAAAAAATGTCAGGAAAGTGGAGACTATTCAACCCTCGTTCCGTGAATCACATTTGTTGGTCCCATTTGTTCATTTCACCGAAAAAGTGGGAAAAAAAGGAATCCGTACAAAACCACACACTATTATCAAAAAATGCCAGGAAAGTGGGGACTATTCAACCCCCGTCCCGTGAATCGCATTTGTTGGTCCCATTTGTTCATTTCACGGAAAAAGTGGAAAAAAAGGGAATCCATGCAAAACCACACCGTATTATCAAAAAATTGTCAGGAAAGTGGGGACTATTCAACCCCCGTCCCGTGAATCGCATTTGTTGGTCCTATTTCTTCATTTCACCCAAAATAAGAAGAATAAAAAATGAATAGAAAAGCCATACGGTATCATACCGTATTATGAAAAAATCTCAGAAAAATGGAGTCGGTTCGGCCCTCGTTCCAGAAATCGCATTTTTTCATTTCACCAAAAGAAGAGAAAAATAACATCCCTTCAAAACCGCGCCATATAACGGAAAAAACTCAGAAAAGTGGAGACAATTCAACCTTCGTTCTACAAATCGCGTTTGTTCATTTCGCGAAAAAGAAAAAAAGGGAAGAATCAAAATAAAATCCGAGCAAAACCACGGCATATTACCAAAAAATCTGGGAAAAATGTAGACGGTTCGGTCCCCGTTCGGGGAGTCCTAGAGCAAGAGTCTCGGTCTCGAGGGAATTTTCAAGGATTTTCGGTTCCAGGAACCTCGCCTGGATTTCCTCCCCACTGTTGGCATAAATTTCGAAGACATGGGCGAAACGACTCGGAAAGACGCCGGGCGTCGCGAATGACGGATGTCGCCCATGGAAGGAATTCGTCCTGCTCGCGAGATAAAGGACCCGGAACGTCGGCGCGATGGGGGGTGATTTTTTACAAACTTCCAAAGAAACTCGGAGGGGAACCATTCGTACGTGAACCCGGCTCGACCGGGGGGTGCCATATATCACGGGGTTGGTCCCATTTGTTTATTCTCAAGGCCCGTTTGTTGGCGCCCCACCCACGCGGGGGTGGTTTTATTTTTTCCCCGAGGAGGGTGGCTCGCCAGGAATCGTTTGGCGTTCCTCGAATCCGGGAATTTGGCGCGGGGTGGCTTTGCTGGATTTTCCGAACGTCGCGATGACACTTCGGAGTGTCACCGTCAATTCGGGACGTCATCGGCCTCGGGTGCACGATGTCGATGTCGCACGAGCGACTCGGAAGATTAAAGACCAACCGGGGAAGTACAATGCGCCGACTGCGTTTGCTCGCAGGGGAAGCTCCGTAGCTTCTGACAGAAGCTTATTCCACCGGCGAGAGACAATCGCGCCGAGATAACAGCGATGACAACTCCCTGCGCTCGGAAATCTCGCGACGTCTCCGTTTCTCCCGGAAATCATTTTCCGTGCGAGCGACTCGCTCGTCAGTCCGTACAGATTTGTCGGAAAATTCGGAAATTCAATTCCAGACGTTCAATTCATTCCTATTCCATTCGGCTAGGAGAACGCAATAGGTATTTTACGCAAGGAAATTTTATGCTGGAAGTCAAGAGTGCCAATGGCACCTCGGGTGGATAAGGAAAGTGTTTCAATTTGTACTAAGTGGTTCTTTTATGAATACTTGACCGTCAAGAGTCGCATTAACCCTTTTGATAGCGGCCATGTCTTTCAGCGGTACGTTTTCGCTGTACCGAAATTCGAGTCGGGAATACAGCTTTGCAGTATAGACCAGTCACGACAAATGTTCATTATAGTCAAAAAGAATGTAAATGGAAAGCCAGGGCAAAAAAATTCGACCGAAGTTATGGATCGATTCAA